AATGAGTTCTTTCTTGTCTGAAGCTTTACTTCTGTAAGATTGAAGACAATGAGTCATACTGTTTTGTTCAGATACAAACCTGCTTTATTAAAGATACATTCGAAATATAAGGAAAAAACCCCGACCCCTGCATCGTTAATCTGTTTGCCAACCTTTCAACGACAGAATAAACATAAAATGCAGGTCTGGCGCCTGACTTCCACAGTGTGATCCAGCAGCAGCACCTGCTGTTCAAAGGGAGCACTGCTGCTTTATAGAAATGCAATAGATAATTTCTTATATCTAGATATATATTCCAAAAGCATCTATACAGTTTAACCTGTTTGAATGGATGAGGCACAGGCTTCTAAATTGCTTTTAACATTCAGAAATGCCATTCTAAGTGTCCTTTGCAGCAAAGGCAGGTATATAAACAGTGATAGACTTTCTGCAATATACTCCATAATACTTAATAATGTCAAGAGCTATATTTACTGGAAAAAGTCTGTTTAGAGGTCTTACTATTTTATTTGTGGAAAAATATTTTTTCCAGAAACTCACATCTTCTTTGCAGTAGTAAATGGTTTGGTAAATTAGAAAGCTGTTACACTGATTTCAGTGAAGGAGAAAATAAAGCAGTGAGCCACTTGAGGTTGCAGAAGTGTGAATCAGCTTGCATTAGTAAATCATAAAATTCTTGGGTAAATGAGAAAAGAAAAACAATTTTTTTATCCACATGTAAGTCCATTTATATAATTTGTCCTTTCCTCTTTCTCCATTTCTCTCCCCTCTTGCCTTGGTGCTGGTAATTCATGCATTTCCAGTGCATTGCTGGGTTTTCCCTGTGTCTTTGAGCTGTGCCCAGCATGTGGGATCCCAAAGGGGCAGCAACTGATGCTGCCTTGGCAGTGCCAAGAGATGCCCCACAGGAAGGCACTTTCTCCAGGCAACAACCTTAAATGACCAAACTCACTCCTTCCTCCTCATCCCCATGCATGACCCTGAGCATCTCTCACAAGGCCCCGGTGTGCAGGTGCCATCTCTCTCCCCTCCAGCCTTACGACATGGCACGAGGCCTCTTGCTTGTGGAGTTTATGGAAGGAGAGCAGCCTGAGTCACTCAGCACTAACCTACATCTTAAGCCTTTCCTCCAGGCTGGATGTGCGACTTTTTCTAGTTCTGCCTGAGTGATTAAAAAATTGTCAGCCTGCTGCTCACAGCATCTCCTGGGTTTGTCCAGAAAGCAGGTGGGTTTTTCTGGGTGTCTCTCATTGGGCAGATACAATGTCTTACAAAAGCAGGCTCTGGGTTTCATTACCCTACGGTCATTATGAATGACAGAATCACAGAATGGTTTGGGTTGGAAGGGACCTTAAAGATCATGTAGTTCCAACCCCGCTGCCACAGGCAGGGACACCTTCCTCTTCCAATAGATCAGGTTGCTCAAAGCCTCATCCAACCTGGTCTTCAACACTTCCAGGGACGGGGCATCCACAGCTCCTGTGGGCAACCTGTTCCAGTGTTTCACCACCCTCATTGTAGAAAATTTCTTCCTTAGATCTAGTCATAATCTACCCTTTTTCAGTTTAAAGACATTGCCCATTATGAAGTTCAAAACATCTAAGAGTAAAGGAATTTCAGCACTTACCTCAATGGATTTAGAAATAATACATTCTGCCAAGCAGAGTCTTCCACTGTCATTAACACAATTAATTAATAATGGAAGTAGGAATACACAGCGTGCAGGCAGCCCCATCCAGCAGAAGCCCTCACCTGGAGACATGATGGGGTCCCTGGGTGTTGCACCATCTCACTGCGACACAGAGGGGCGGGCTTGGCTGTGCCTGGTGCTCTGCTCAGGCAGCGCTGGGTACGGGCTGAACTGGGGGAGTGCGGCTTTCCATGTAGGACATTGAGCTGAAGTCAAGCAGCATTATCCAGCAAGGGGAGGCACCGATTTGGACACACGGCAGTCAGGACCAGAGTGTGGTTAGGTGTGAAAGAAATCAATCTATTACAGAAGTTGGGAGATGGAGGCAAGTGTAATTTTTAGAACGTGACATCTAACTTCAAGTTGACTGATGAGAAGACAGCATCTACCATGAGTTTATGAACTGTGCCATCAGACCCCAGTCGCACCGCAGTCAGAGTGGGGACTCCTTCACAGGGAGCGGGTGACTGCCCCGTGGCCGAGGTGGGCACAGCTGGACCCCATGGCACCGGCACCACAAACTAGCTTGGGCAAAACAGAAGAGGACAGAGAAAAATTACTAACGAAGATGGCACTTTGAGTGAGCTCGTATCTGCTGCCCGGTTTTCTATTGTGAGACTATGAGAGGGTTTAACGTGGAAAGGAAGAATAATTACAATTTCACTGCGGCAAAGGAGAGTAAAAAGATATCAAAGACACCTAATGAGAGATGTAGACAGACTTCTAATGAACCCTTGTGAAGCACGCAAGACTGCAATCAATATTTGCACCACTGATGCAAGAAAGTACAGAAGAGAGGTTCTGGATACTTATTAGTGTGAGAGAAACAAAAACATCCCCTGTAGCTGTCTGTGCATTCGGAATGAGTTAAAACTCCACACTCCCCCTTGTAAAGAAGAAGGAAAACTTTAATGCGAGCACATGTCTGAGCTCTTACTGCTGTTCAAGACCTACGGTGGACTTTTGAATGGGTGGTAAGTCTTAAAATATAGTGTTAGCAGAGGATTTGTAGTGACATTGATGAAATTTCTAAAATTGCCAAATCATTTAGCAATTTCATACAGCATTTTGTAGATCACTTTGAAATATCTCTTACTTTATTAAAAATTACAAAATGTGCAGTTCAGATAAGCCACCTGGACAATGTTCAAAAGAATGGACCCTGTACAGCACTAATGTTTCTAGAGGATATAGGACACCCCTTGCAATTTCAGAGCACACAAGGCAGAACAGGAGTGTTTTCTTACAAGAACAGCACTCTGTAATCAGAGGGAAAAAAATGAGTGTGTAACAGAGTCCCTACAAATAATTCATCATATTATAACTGACCTTCTGTCCTAGTTTTAGCTGGGACAGTTAGCTCTTCTTTTTAACAGCTAGAAGAGCTCCGTGTTTTGGTTTTACTCAGAGGCTCGCTCTGAGAAGAATGCTGATAGCAAGTTGACGTTTGAGACTCCAAGGACTTTTCAGCGTGCCGGAGTGCAGAAACACGGCGGGATAAGGCGGGAGCCGAGCTGGGACAAGGGGGACACGATTCCCTTTGTGATTTGTGGTGGAACTTAAGATTGAGGGCCAAACTGGCCAATTAGTATTCCATATCATGCAGCGTCATGCCCAGTATAAAAGTGAGGGTCAGCCGGACAGAAGGGCTTTTGCTCTTTTGCGCTTGCTGCGCTTTTGCTCTATTGTTTTTCTTTCTTTTTCTCTCTCTCCCAGTACTCCCACTCTCGGAGTACTCTCTCTCTCTCTCTCTGCCCCTCTCTATTTTGGGGCCTCGCGTTCGTCCGGGATTGCAGCTTCGGGACGAGACGGGCTTCGCATACGAGGGGGTTGTGAGCACCTACACAGTGTATTAAATCTGTATTAAATTGTTCTTATCTCAACCCACGGGTTTCCCATTTATCCTTTAATTCTCCCCCTCACTCCTCGGGGTGGGGGAGGGGGAGTGACCGGCTGTGTGTGGGGGTTCAGCCTAACCCACGACACCTTCATCTTTAGGAATTTTCCCAAGCATATTCTGTGCTTAGAACCTGAAAGAAGTTAACAAGTCGAAGGACAAAACAGGTCCATTACAGTGGTTACTGATACAGACAAATCTCTTGCAGGACTTTAGCAGACCACCTTCTAGGCAGCTACTCTGCGAATTCCAATAAACTTTCTGAAATTGGACTAGTTTGCAACTTGTTACCTCGTTGGAGGCTAGCTTTGTAATTAGTGTTCCTTATCAAAAGATTCCTGGAACAGTTTAGAATGTGTCTAATAGAGGATACAGGTAACAGACTGCGAAGGAACCAATTTGCTCTAGTTCTAGACTGAACTGGTGGTGGGGACACACTTCTGAATAAAAGAAAATACATTCAAGTCCCTCAAGTAATCTAATCCTTACAGAATAGAATGGAATAGTTCCATTGGAAGGGACCCACAGTGATCATCTAGTCCAACTGCGATGCACCGTTGGGATGATCTAGCACTAGTTTGTACAGTGAACTCTAGATCTAAAAGGTGGCACACAGACAGAATAAGCAGAAAGTACTTAAGCAAATTAATTTCCCCTAAAATGAACTGTCAGTATCTTTCTACTGTAGTGGTATCCTGCTCACCAGAAACAGTTAATAAAATCAATACAGAGGAGCCGATTTTTAGTCTTGTAATTCCAGTTTTTGAAGAGTAACATATAGAAAAATAATGAGGCAGATTCTGCTACTTTCACTAGCAATTTGCTCTGCAAAGCATTGTTTTCTTCAGTTATTTTTAAGGGTTTATGCATTACCCAGCTATAGATTGTAAGAGGATCACTGCTGAGCAGATAGCACTCGCTGAATAGTCAGTTTTCCCCTTTTATAACCAGCAAAAATATCACTATTTAAGCTGGTTCTTTCTATTTGAGCTGAATCATCCAAAAAAAGAGATAGACCTGCACTGTAACAATATTCTTAGAGAATTTCTGTTTCAAGAACTAAATGAAAGGAAACACTTTTTGTTGCAGAAACAATTTTAATAAGGTCAAAGTGTACAAAACAATACCAGAACAAATGGTAAATAAACAGAAGATTAAAGAGTAATTACGGCCTCACTGGAAAATGTGTACTACATACCTCATTACTCATTTGAAAGATAATTGGGACTTTCTTTTTTTTAAACAAGTTTTATAATTGTCCCTCCTACATGCTTATTTTGTTCATTCTACTGCTGCCTCAAATGCAGGAGTTGCATGTTTCAGATGAGCCTGCAGCTAGAAAGGTTTAACTTATCTTTATTGATTCAATTAACACACTTTTTATCAAAAATTTAAGTTTTTATTTTCTTTTAAAGCCTACTTGCAAGTGATGTTTTATAGACACTATTCTACAACCCAGCTTTGGTAGTGGTTGATATAACATTTTAAAGAATATTTGCTATTCACACAATTTGCATTAGATTCTTAAAATGCCACGACTGAAACAAAAGTTACTTTGTACAAACAGATAGCCAAAGAGGCTAAAAAGATATTTTAGAACAATCATTGAAAGCCTTTACTGTATCATGGTCACTTCAAGCGTTGTAAAGCAGTTTTCTACAATCTTCAGCTTTTCCTCAGAAAGCAGGTTTTCTTGCTTCAATTGCCCAATAAGAGCTTCTAAGGACCTGAGTCTCCCCAAAGTTTTTATCTCCTGCATTTCAAGTAGAGTGATCTTAGAGTGGAGCTTTGAAATTTTTTGCCAAAGGTGATCTCTGTCTATGTCTTGTTTGCAGTATGAATGCTCAGTTTGTAATACTTCATTTCCCCCATATGCATTCATATGCAGAGATTCATCTGTTTCTGTCTCCTCCGTGTCAAGGAACTCTTGCTCAATAGGCAGGAAAGGACTATTTGCTATTTCAGGCCCTTCTGGGCTCTCAGCTGGCACAATGATAGCAATGACAGATTCTTCACTTCCACTGAACTGTTCAATAGTTTGTGTGACTGTACTCAGTAAAACTGCGTTTTCACTTGTTGGCTGTACTTCAACAGAACAGCCTACAACGTGAGAGTTAGGATTTTCAATTGCAGAGTCAGTAATTGAACCTAAAGCATTTTGCAGTTTCAGAGATGAATTCAAGTAGTCAGGGTCTGTAAATTGCAAGACTGTAGCTGTACAACCTACTGGATCCTCTAAAGAAGTATGAACACTGGCAGCTTCCACGCTCTGGACTGCTGCTGCCATTAAAACAGGATTAAGTTGATATATATGCTGCTTAGATGAATCATCAAGAATAACGCTGTCTGCCTGAAAGTCGTCTCTGTTTTGAAGTTGCAGGTTTTGAATTTGTAAAGGTTTACTCAATGCAGCAAGGCAAACTACTTCTGCTTTTTCATCTGCATTTTCTGCAATTACAGGATTTTTCTTTGGTGTACAAGGTTCAAGTGATACAGATGCCTTCTCTGACTCTACATTTCTAGTTTTTTCTTCCAGGTCTTCTCTCTTTGTGTCTTGCGGGGTGTTCTGAGAAGAGTCTTTTTCCTGGAGAAAAAAAAAACCCACAAATCTAATCACCTTGTAACTAAGAAATCACTTAAGATAAAAAAAATGGACAAATCTAATTCTATAGCATAGTACTGCGTAACTAGTAGTTCAGGTGAGCACCATTTAAAAATTACATCAGAGACCTGAAAATTCATGTAAATATCTTCCACAACTTTGCTTCAGGTTGGAAATGTTAAGATACTATTTTAAAGCTCTAGGGGTAATAATACTTTTTTTTTTTTTTTTTCAAACTCTAAGGAACTTTATCCATTTATACAAGTCATCATAACCCTTAAAAAACTTGAAGTGGCTAGACAAATCTAGCCAAAGACCGGCTAGCATGTTCTATTACCACCTGAAACATTGTATTAAATATATGTGTATTAAATACACACAGTAGAAGATTTTTGCATTAAGGATGCAACAAAGTTTTCTAGCCAGTCATGGTAAATTTTTAGTCATGCGGTCCACCCCGAAGAGAATTTAATAACAACAAAAAAGATTATGAATCCAGACTTGCAGAAAAGTGAAACATATTCATGCACACACAGGCAGATTTTTAAACAAGCAATTCAATTCTGACAACTAAACTTCACAATTCATAAAAATGGAGAACTTTTTTTTTTTTTTGAATGGATGGAAATTTTAACAGAAGGATAAAATTTAACAGGACTTTAAACAGAAGTTGTTACTGAAAGAAGGACAATTTGCAGCTTACCCTTTTAAGCCGCCTTCTTTTCCCCTCCTGCATATAAGCTACATCACCACATTATTAGATATAAGATCAGTATCCACACAAGATTTTTGATGTCAGTCAGTAAAACAAAAATATACTGAGTGTCTCATTTTTTTCTAGTAGGCTTGACTGTGAAGAGATCAAGCTGCAGAACTTATACTCATGTTAGGCCTGTGGACTGAAAAATAAAAACCAAAAACCCAGAACAAGAATCAACTTTAACTTTGCTACCTAAATGCAGGCCAGGAAAAAAAAAAAAAACACAAACAAAAAGGGGTGTGGGAAGAAGAGGCCAGGCTGAAAAAAAATGTATTATTATGGAAAAGGTAATTTCAAAGTGTATGTCCATGTACATATGTAGCCTGAAGTATCCTAAATATATTATACTTTGCAATCTGATTTTATATGAAACTTCGGTGTTCAAGGACTGAAAAATGTATACAAAAATACAATTCATTTGGTTACCTTTATCTTTTCAAAGGTGATACTTAACATCGCATCAATCTTGCAGATTTTGAGAGAGTGAAGTATTTCCCTTTCTCTGTTCTATCAGCAGCTGAAAAAGGCCTTCTCAGGCTAAATCTTTTAACTAGACAAACCTCTTAGGAAATAAATTATGGAAACATCTCCCAAATCCTTTCCTATCAAAGTTGCCACTAAGCTTGAAGGAAAGGCACCAAAACATCTCTCTTGATTGAGCTGCTTGAAGACCTTTACTTTCATTGAAAAGCTTCCTTGTCCATCTGTCCCCGTCCCCACATTCTTACGACAGTCTTCAAAATAAAAATCCTTGTAAAATAATGTACAATGGTTACTGATATTGAAATGCAGGTAACTAACATTTCTTGTGAGACGCAAACATTCTTTATTCGGAAGAAATAATTAAATCATTAAGCATTTCTGGTAAGATATCCTTCACTTGCTTCGTAATACATAAAGCAAGGCGGTGGTGAACAACACACAAACATTGCAACTCTTCCCTCTGTTTGCCGCCCTTGGTTTTCCAAACCAAGGGTTTACAGACAAGTGTTGAAAGGCAGCCTGGGACTTTAGCTTCCGATTCCTCTGTATTAACTTGGGAACAGAATAAGAAAGGATTCTCTCCCAGAACAAGGACAGCTGTTTCCCATGTGTTTGTGACTATTCAGTCTATGTAGAAATCTCGGTTTTGGGGTAATTACAGAACCAGTGGCCAAGTCAATGAATATTGTTGATTTGCTGAGCTGATCACTGACAGGATACGTGTAGATCTTAAGAAAAGCACAGCTAGAAGTGTGAGATTAAAGAAAATAATGCCGGAGAGAGAAGCAAGATCCAGGCAAGCAAGGTCACAGTATGACAGATATCAAGAACTGACATCTCTTTTCTTTCGATAGCAGGGAAGCAATGGATAAACTGAAAGGAAGCACAGAATATTCTTTTCCCAAACGGGATAAATTTATCTGGGATTTCCCATACATATTGCTAATGCAAAAATAATTCAGAGAACCTCTTGGTATGTTCTTGGCAACACCACCTACACCTTTGTAGAACTGGTCTACAATCACATGCAAAATCTGCAAAACAAGAGGGAATGAAGAGATGGGGAAAAGCTGACTTTTTTGGGGGGGTAGGAAATCACATACTTTATCTGCAATTGCAGAAAAGCACAGAGCAGCAAAATTCGGTCCCAAAGGTAGGGCTCCCTGTTACAATGACAGCACAGGGAAGTGAGGGATATATTGAAGCAGGATGGAGGGGGCTGGAAGGAAAGATATTTACTGCTAAGTTACCACTGCCATAAATTGCGAGATTTTCTACTTTTATATTTGAGGCATTCAACAAGATTGCTTTTCACCCTACAGAGTCAAAAGCAGTCTGGGCAACACTTGCAGCTATCCAAGAAGACCAAGAACTTTACTACTAAAAGGAAATTATTTTGCAAAATTAATTATCTACATATTTCAGTTTCAGCAATTTAGCCTTTAAAGTAATTCCAGTCTTTCCATTTCTCCCACTTCCAATATGATGATCCAGAGGAAGACAGCTATGGGCCAGAAAAGAATTAGCATAGCTTTGATCGAGACTAGGTGCCTGCATAGCGCAGTATTTCTATGTAACCAATAGTACCACTCTGTGAAAGACAAGAATGAACAGCCTTTGTGGCATATCTTAGCAGCCTGCACTCCTGAACTCTTAGGTGTTAGAGAGGTTAGGGACAGGAAAGAGAAATGCGTCATTTGAAACTAATACATTCCAAAGCCAGTATTTAAGTACAGTTAATAAAAGTCCTTAAAAGACCATTGAAATATTAATTAAGAGTAATTGCATAGGAAAAAATATTTAGAATCATAATATTCTCACAGGAAATTTATTTTCCTATGGGAAATTTTCTATAGGAAATGTTTCTGCAATTTCCAGTTAAAAAAGCCAAAGTGTGGGAAGTTGTTCTTCCTTTACATTAAGGAATTGCATATTTATTTTGCGTGAGTCCTGTTGACAAAGTATTTTGATGGACAGGAATTCTATTTTTAAAATAAAATATGAATATATCACAGATAATTAGAACACCTGCATTACATAAATAGTTGGTCAGCTCTGTATTACAATAAAAAGAAGATAAGAATGCATTACCTCATCATCTGGGGAAGCGAAAATCGTTGGTACAGCAGTATGTTTCAGGTATCGTATGCCCCATCGCACATCAAGGGAATCGGGGGTAAAGTGATCACTGCAGAGCAGCTGGTGCTTACTTGGAGTCCAGGCATCTCGTTTCATGTTCCGCAACCATTTCTCAAGTCTCTCTTTATCATGAAGAGGAAATCTTTTTTAAAGCAGTTGAAAGAACACACAAAAACACAGAGAAAAAACTGTTATTTTCTTTTCTTTCTTCTTTTTAAATAAAGAACAGCTCATTGCTCCCTACAAGGCAGTCTTTCCTTACAAAAAAATTAAAATAATACTTTAAAAAAAATTTCAATTAGGAAATGCTAATCAGGATGTCACTTAATTGTTAATCCAATTATTATCCAAATTATTTCTAGTTGGATATTTGCTCCAGGGTTTCAGCAGCAGAATTTCTATTGATTTCTGCTGGCCAAGTGTTTCAGAACCCACGCCAATATGTTTTAAAAGGCGTGATCCTGCAACACTTGCTCAGAAAGTAGCTCTGCTGAAGCCCAATGAAGTACTCCGATTCATTTAAAAAAAGTTAGGTCCGGTCCTCATATTAGAAATAGTGGAGCTTTTTTGTCTTACTAGACAGAACTAGTAATAAAAACTTTTGTTACTGTTTTTTGTTTAACAGAGTATCTCTTAATATATGTCATACTTCGGATTATCCAACAACTTGGAAATGCGAGTATTTCCAGTGCAGGACTTAAACTTTGTTCAAAAAGTAAATACAAACAAACACGAAGCATTTCTACGCTTTGTGTTTCAGCCATTAAGCCTTCTTACAGTCTTGAGAACCCACGTAATATTACATAATCCATAAGTAACTTTTCAACCATTTAATCTACTTGAAAAGGAAAATGAGTATACACATTCATAGAAAAAAATTAAATCAATTTTGAAAACATACGCAAACGGTCAGACAAATTACGTGGGAAAGAGAACTAAATTAAAAGAAAGTGGGTGAAGATACATAATTCACTTAATGAATTGCAATATACAAATTAAAGTTAAATTAAAGGCTCATTATGATGCATGTACAGTCAAGCAGTTATGATAATGGCAACACGACCATTCAGACCCCTCTTGGTTCTCGCCTCTTACCAGACAGACATCAGGGAATCTGTGATGTGCTTACAAATTTCTCTGGTGCACATCACGTTTCTTCCAACTCTAGCATATAATCACGTATGATATACATAAACTGTAACTTGAATTCTGAGCACTGCTAAATGACCACTGTTAAGAAAGCAATATTCTTTAGAATCATGAGTAATAATAACACACACAAAAAAATATCTATGCTTTTAGGTATATGAAACTTGAAGAGACAGATTCATGTGGTCATTAAACAGGACCTGATCGTAACTGCAGGATGTACAAAAGTATTAGCAGCTGGCAGTATGACGGACAACAGAAACATCCAGGCATGAACAAGTGCCTACAGTCTCTTTACTAGAACCATTTTGGTTTATTCCCTAAACAGAAATGGAGCATTCCTAACTCCATTTCTCTTTCCTTAGCTCTTTTTTCCTTTTAATTAATGATCAGTTATTTTGGTAACATTTATTACCCTATGTTAATGGCACTTCAACGCACAAAAAATTTGGATCTGCAGTGAGGCATTCCCACACAACAGAAGCTGAGGAGAGAGTGTGGAGCACCCAGCATCACCTGGATGCTATGAAATCACCTGGATGCTATGAAAGGCACCTGTCAGTAGAGCTACTTCTCAGCAAACCCGAGATCCCATCCTCAAAACCCCTGAAGCTGCAGGTTTCCTCCAAAAACCACAAATGGCAATGACTCGCTCATGCAGTGTTCCAAAACTGCAAACTTAGCTGATTTTGAGAGAAAGATACTTGAGATTCACAGGATAAATGTGCTTGTCTTCACCCCTTCCCCAATCTTTTGAATTTGTTGCCATTTAAGTTTTGAAGTTACCAAAGAAACAACAAGCTTTTGATGCATCTGGCTCTGAGCATTTTTTTTAGGAATGCAAGGAATAACGTTGGCGAGAACATAATAACTTCCCAAGGACGGGTTAGAGGTCAGCCTTTTCAATCCTGCCTACTTAGACTGCCTACACTCAACAGCAGCATTACATATATTATGTAGCATGCAGCATGAGTAACAGCCTGGGATGTTACTACATAGGTCCAAAGAAGGTTCTCAGTAACAGGATGGCTTCTTTCAACTGAAGGTCAAGCCGACAATCACACCCTCTCCAGGAAGGCCTTAAGAACATTTTCTTCCACTGCTGTTACCCTTGCAACACTGCACTCACTGCCTTTCCCACAGTCAGCCAGCTTCAGAAGGGAAACAAAACAATCTACGGTGAGAGACAATGTCTGATAGCAAAATTCATTATTTTAGCTTAAGGGCAACTTTGTCAAAACCTGCTTCTGCTTCAATACCCCCTTACTCATCAACAGAATGTGTTCTGTGATGTAAATGAGACACAAAAAACAGAAAATGGAAAGAGGAAGCGGACAGAATATATTCAGGAGCTGCCACCGCTGCCCAAGTCAGAGAGGAGAGGAAAAAAACAAGAAGGGCAGTAAGGTTAGCTGAGATTAGGTCACAGCTGAAAAGTTCAGAAGGGGCTCAGACTCAAAACCACAGAGCAGCAGAGGACTTCTCAGGGTGGTAAGAGGCAAGGCAATAAAACTTGCAATTCGTATCAGTAGCAGTTGCTAATGTAGGGCAAGAGATCTCTGTAAATCAAATGTCAGCACCCCTTCCTCAGGACCATGATACTTGTAATGCAGTACAGTTGGGTTGCTAGATAAAACAGTTGTGTTTTTGGAAACATCTTGATACTGATGACACACATTTGAATATAAATACATATCAGCACTCAAACATGTTTTGATCATCCATGTGGCACTCGCATTCCCCAAAGCAACATAAATAATTTATTTCCTCTCATTTTCAAGATTGTTTTTGATGAATCACATATTAAGAGACATGCTGGGAAAATAGAGCTTGCCTTTAACCTGAACTAAAATCTCTTTCAAAGCAGTATCCCTGTGGGTCTTCCTACATAGGCTTCCTGATCTTGGAATAGCAATGACTACTCAGCCATTGAAACAAACTGACAACTTAGTTTGAGGTATAAATTTTACCAAAACAGATTTCAATGCTAGTTGTGAAATATATTCATTTTTTTTCTTAAATGCTACAAAATTCCTTCCATTGACAAACTTACCTTATTTTTATTCAACCGAAATACATCAATATTTAGTTACCTGCACTGTGCTCCTCTCAGGGTTGAGAAACACTGCTTTTAACTCACCACTCTGGGAATCAACAGCCACGTAATGCAATAGTACAGAGGTTACTGCGGGCCTGGGATGGCGACTAACCAACCAGGTGGCCGGATAGCACTGTGCAGCCACCATAAACTGCTTTTTGGCAACAAAGCCAGTTAGCTTCCAGCTAGCGCAGCTGCCTCCAAACAAACCAGCAATGCTTCTGTTCGCAGCGTAGGCATAATAATAATAATGCCAGTGGGAATATTTTATTTTAAAGAATCAATATATATTTACTTTTCTACTCTCTCAGGCCCTCTGCTCAGCTTGTGAGCTGCCAGATGGAGCATACTCAGCTCCTTCAGCCAATGCCTCCACTAAAGCCTGCCCTGCTCCAACACTCCTTCCACAAAGGCAGCCACGCTTGAAAAAAACGGGGTAACCGGTGCTGCTTAGCTCTAACGGCTAAACAGCCTCACGGGTATAAGCGCAAATTTTATTTTTCAGTCGAATCTCTTCGGTTTTCACTCCATGAATGCTCTGCACCTATTCAAGAGCATTACAGTACACTGCTGTACCTGTAGCTCCCCTAAGCAAGCACCGTCCGTCTTCACGGGAGGTGACTGAATACTCTGCCCACCGACCCTTTTCCCTACTCCTTCCCCTTCCTCTTTCCCCTGAGATGAAAGCGTTATTTCCATCCAGCCTCTCGGGACCAGGCAGGGTTCAAAGGCGACGACCAGCGCCTAAAGTTAGTTCCTCGGCCCTTTGCCTCCCTTCTCCTGGGCTCCTGAGAGGCCGCTACGGGCCGGGCCTCGCCTCACTCGGAGCTGGCCCCTTTAGCGCTCG